CTAAAAAGGATTCCTGAGGATTGTTCCAAAAAGGAAAAAAAAGATGTTTCTTTTTTTTATTAAAGAATCAAACTAACAGAGTCAGATATTTAAAACAAAGCAAGCTGAGCTGAGCATATAGTTTCTGTGCCAAACAATGAGACTTTAAGAATATAGGACAAATCAGCGAGAGAGAAGAGGAGGAGGAGGAGGAGGGTAGCTTTGCCTCAAACACTGCCTCGCTAACTTTTAAAATACTGTTATTTTAAACTCTGCACACAAGAAGTATTAGGTTTCTGACAGAGCCGAGGCAGGGAGGGGCGGGAAAGCTCTGGGAGCGAAACTTCAAGGAGAATTAGGAGAAAAATGGAAAAAATGCTGCTCGTAATATTTTCCTTAACGCGAGGCCATTTTGTTTAAATATACCATCATCCTATAGCACGGTTTGCTTCCATATGCTTTTGTGGCACATTCTGCTCCGTATCCCTGCCAAATTATCACGTGTAATACTCGACACACAGCTCATAACAGAAAAAAAAAGAATGATGTTATTCAGCACTTGCAAAGCCCACTCAAGCTATTTCTAGGTTTTTATCACTGCAGAGAGCCTCTGTAACGCCAATATTATTACAGTGCAGTATGTCCCACCTTTGTTATTCTTAGGTTTATATAAGAGATTGATTTTCATTCTGCGTGTCAGTGAGAACGCAATAAGTAAARAATATTTGTACCAGCGTGGCCTAAAACACGATTTATATCTCTCGTTAGGCTTTCGCGTGGCTGTAATATTACATTCCTTCTGGCAAAGACAAGAAATTGAGGACAAAAAGTAGCATGGGTATAATCAATCCACGCTGGCACAGAATGCATGATAATTATAAACAAAAACTGTGTCGTTCCCCGCGAGGAAAGCAGCTGCCGGGGTGACGGGCGATGCTGAACATGAATATAGATCGCAGGACTTAAGATCAAAACTGATGCAACCGCAGGTTTGCTCGAGATGCTTCAGACGGGAAAGGGCAAAAAGGAAAAAAAATGAAGTAATGTTTGCTAAAGTTGTTGTTCCATTTGGGAAATACTTTATGTTTTTTCCCATCCAGCAGAAAGAAAAACAGAATAAAATAAAAAGAGAGAGAGAGAGAGGAGGCAGAGAATGCAAATGTTTGACTCTGCAGATAAATCACAACAAGATTTGGACAAAAAATTTTTGTTGCTAGTAAAGCAGTAGATTTAAATCTGTTTTGGCTGAACAAGACTAGAAGCCTTGTGTAAAAAAATAAGGATTTCACTTAGAGCTGCATGATATACTGTTTGAGCATCATCATTGCAATGTATGTGTGTAGTTACAGTGTAGGAGGCWAATTAAATCAGCAGGTTATCAACGGCAGTGGCTCCCAAGAGAACAAAACACAGAAACAAGTCCATTTCTACTCAGTTATTCTTGTTTTCATTTTCCAAATAAAAAACTGTGATTATTTACTTTATTCTTTCATTTACGTGATAAAGAGATAAAGGCTGAACG